TGTGTTTAATTTATATTTTGTTTTCAGGAGTAGAATTTGTTGGTTCTGTTCACTGGAAAGTGAAGAAGTTGCGTAAATAGAAAAAATTCTTTTTTTTTTTCCAACGTTACGTTTATTTTGTGTTTAATCACGAAGTTGTAAATATTTGCTTGACAATTTTTCGTCGCTATTTTTTTTTTTTTAAATCATAAATTCTACAATTTCATGAAGTTCGAAATCTTTCTAATATATTTCTGTTGGGAATAAAATTTCAATCTTCCGTTTTTAATGAAATTTCGTTTGGTAATCGATTATTAACAAATTTTGTTTTCCGTTCTATTAAATTTCTATCTATTTAATCTATTATATTTCATTCAAACTTGGACCAATGCTATTTCCCAAAGTTTTAATTAATATCTTTTAGTTAATAAAACGTTTGATAGATTAAATTCATACAAACCGTTTGATTTTATGTTCTATATTTCGATTTCACGGGATGGATGTTGACACAGATTTTGACGCTTTACGATTCTACCGCCATTCCTCCATTTTTACAACGACAATTCCCACGAAATACGTGTAATAACAATCCACCATTCAACGCAAAATTTACCAATTTTCCAAATTTCTTCAACAATTTTAATTCGAAAAAAAAATATTTCAAAAACCTTTATTCAATTGATATTTTTAAAACCTTCGAAATCTAAAAATTATTAATGAAATTACCCATTCGCCACAAAAATTTAACAACAACAAATTCGATTCCCTTAATTTCTCAAGGGAAAATAGTTTAAAACCCATATCGATCCGTTCGTTTTAAAATCCGCCAACAGATTTAAAAATCAAATTTAAACAAAGTTACGTGAAAAAGCTTTCGAATTTTGAAAACAAAAAAATTTAAGGGGGAAAATCTTTCGCGAAAAGTGAATAAACTGATAATAAAAATTCTCATTGTTCAAAAAAATTTTTTTCGACATAAATCATCATCGAAATTCGATTTGATTGAAAAATTCCGAATAATTCCGTTTCCAAAAAAAAAAAAAAATGTCCCTCGATTTCATCGAATCTTTCCAATTATATTGTGATATTAAAACGGAAACACGTGTCTCGCAATTTCAAGAAGATGGAAGATCTCGTTTCATCAAAGAGAGGAAAGAGCGAGATGGAGGTATCGATCTCGCGTTAAATCATATCGTATAAAAGAGAAGCATTATGACGAACGGTGGTCTAATAACACCGAACTCGTGTTCGAACTCGGTCGTTCACAGGTCACGGATCACCATTCTTTACCACCTTCGTTTCAATTAAATCTCGGGGAGGAAGCGGAGGAGGGCGAAAAATATGCTTGGAGTGGGGAAGAAAAGGGGGGAGGTGAGGGGGGAGGGATGATTTACCAGCCCATGGCATATAAATTACATTCATGCGCCGCTTCCTCCTTTGACTTTGAATTCGTCCAACTTCTCTTCTTGCGCGAATCCTCCTTTGAATCTTTCTATTTTCACATAGTTAGACGATCCAAGAGATAATTAAGTTCCTCGTGCCTTTTCTAATTTCTCTTCTTTTTATTTTTTCTTTTTTTTTTTTTTTTTTTCCTTTGACGATGATCCATATATAAACAAATAAATAAATACGATATATTCATAAATAAATTGCATCATTCGTGAACACGTTTTAATTAAAATGTACGTATGTTAATAGACAGGATTAAAATTTGTTTATTTTATCAGGTTGTTGCATACGAAATTGGGTGAATTTTTAATAAGGCTACTACCATCGATGTTTACATGCTTTATTGAAAATAATATTAATCAAAATTTGACACGAAGCACTCGTTCGTCGTCCATTTGGATATAAGGTTAAAATTAATTACGATTAATTTTTGATCGATTGTTATTAATAATTCCCTTGTTTATTTCTTTTCATAGTTTCAAGAATTTGTAAAATCGATCATTTCATTTTTCAACAATCTGATAATGTTTTAATATACATTTAATATACAGAATTATAATTTTTTTCCTTTCCTTTTCCTTAATTTTTATCAATTTGAAATTAACGTTATAGATATTAATGGTAATTTTGCTCGGTTCCAGATAGATTTTTGAGAAAAGAATTTTATATAATAAATAATGGAAATGTCTAATTTAGTTGGATTTTATTTTTTTTTTTTTTTTTTTTTTTTTTTTTTT